TCTTGACTGCCCTCCGGCCAAGAAGAAACGACCTTCCCAGGAAGGACCTGGCCAAGCACGGCCAGCATCCTTCCACTCCGATGAGTCTCCCAATACCTTGGTGTGATCCCCACTGCCTCTTAAGTGAGGCCAGGCCAGGGACTTTTCTCTAATGCACGCAATATGGCAAGAGCCACAGGTTGTCACTTCAGGGTTAGGCTACAAAGACCGTGGCCTCCCTCTCGGTTTCTCTCACCCGCACTCCAAGCTCTCTTTCCTTCTGGGCTTCTGCTCTGAAGGAAGTTTCGTGTTTTGAGGGCCCTTAGGAGAGGTCTGAATGAGGAGAAATTGATGGTTTTGGCCACCACCTGAGGCCTGGCCAGACGCCACTCGAGTTTGAAAGTGGGTCCTTCAGTGAAGTCCTAACTAACCCCCTGCTTGCAATGAGGACGATGGACTCCGAGCCGCGGCAAGCTGAGTGCACCCAGATTCCTGACACTCAGAAACTGTGAGATACCAAGCATTTGTTATTTCTAAGCTGTCAAATTGGGGGGGGGGGGGGCTACTTGTTATACAACAATAAATAACTCATAAAATTCTTAACCAATGAAGAAAATGTTGGTCCAACAGACTCAGTAACCGAATCTGCTGTATAAAGCATCTCGGCCCATGTACCACACATGAGCACCATTACAGTATGGCCTTCCTCTTCTTCAATCTGGACATCTCTAACTTCCACCACATTTGAAAGTACTTTAAAGATAAAAAATGTTCCCTTTTGGACGGAGAACAAGCCAACACGCAAAACTAAGACGAACACAAGCTGATGGCAAGCTGGCAGTTGGATATCTCAAATTTTCAGGGTTATAATGTCAAAGCTATCTGCCAAAAGAGAGGCCAGAAAGAGGAGTGTGTGTTCCCAAGATGCCCTTTCTGGTCTTTCGTGAACGATTCTTGCAGCCAGAGTTTCATTCCAACCACAGGACTGTGGCACCACGTGGCCATTTTCAAATCTGCCCTGACATCAGAATGCAATTCAGCTAGATAAACCTGGGACTTAGCCAAGATAAGTAGTACTTGAAAAGATGGAGCTAATGACTACCACCACTTTCTTTGGGGCCATATATGACTATGGTGTGAAGAAATAAAAGGCTTGGTTGTTTTAAAGGGCAGGGATGATTGGAAGTTCTGCAGCAGACAGTTACAAAAATTTTCCAGCCCTGGCTTTCCAAAGAAGATACCAGTAAGAGGCTTTGGGAGCTGGGTGTGGGAGGTGTTGCTTGGAAAGAAAATTAATCCTGGGGAGAAGGGTAAACCAACGTTTGCACATTTGCCAGAGAACCCAGGCAGGCTTGGCCCCTGACATTGTGAACTTACCTTCTCTGGCCTACTCCTTCATAACATGGCTCCTTAAAACCATAGCATTTTTGTTTCTGTTTGTTTTTATCACAGCATTTGACATCAGGCAAACACAGAAAGCTATAGCATCACCTCTCACAAACAGTAGTCTGTCTCTCTCTCTCTCTCTCTCTCTCTCTCTCTCTCTCTCTCTCTCTCTCTCTCTCTCTCAGGTGGGGGATTATCTGAATTAGGACCTCACTTTGTAGCTCTCTGGAATTCACTAGGTAGAGCAGGCTGGCCTCGAGCTCACGGAGACATGCCTGCCTCTGCCTTCCCAAATGCTGGGATTAAAGGCATTCCACGCTACAACTGGCACAAACAGTAAATTCTTATTTTCTTGGAGTAATTTTGGATTGAGATTGTTTTGTTTGTTTGTTTGTTTGTCTATTTTGGTTTGGCTTGGTTTTTTTGTAGTATGAAGGAATGAATCTAGGGCCTCTCCCACACTAGGCGATTGCTCAATACTGAGCTACAGCCCCAAGCCCAGACTGAGTGTTGCTGTTATTGTTCTAAATCATCTTTACAAACAGTCTCCCCATCCCAGCTCCTAAACTCTCCCTCTTCTTCTGCATTTATCTGCCGGGGACAGGGCAAAAGGACTCAACAGCTGTGACATTCCCTTCTAGGATGGGTTTCCTGCACCTCATGCACAGATCACTTTAAAAAATTATTGCATTTGCTTCTTCTATATTGGCTCATCCCACCCCCTCTTCCTAAATCATTATTCCTGTTGCCTAACATCAGAAGCTGTCTGGGACTATAAGGATGAGTAGCTCATCAACTAACTGGGTTTGGTTGCATTTGAGGCAGAGTTCTAGCCTGTCAGGTTTCATTTGACTTGACGACAGAGCTCGGCATTGCTCCCCCCAGCACGCAGAGAGGAGTTAGATCAGTGGCCTAATGAATAAGCATGAAAATTTGATTCCAAAAAGGAGGACATCTGAACCCCATGGGGACAAGAAAGGAATCCAAGCCCCACCACCCACACTCTCAATGACAAAGCAAAACAGCTCCGATGCCTCCAACATCTCCCAACAAACAGCAACACACACAATGGTCGGTGATAGGAATGAGGATTTAGAAAGCAGAAGATGAAGTCCCGAAGAAGGTACACTTTTAAAAAAGGAAAAGGTTGCCTATTCATCTTTATTGCTTTGAGGCAGATACTCAAAGCGGGGGTGGGGTGGAATCTGGTATGAAGGGTAACCTGATGCTTAGAAGGAAAGTAGTGATTTCCATCGCAGGCCAGATGGGGGTGTCAACCATTTGACAAAGGGGCTCTGCTCTTTAGACCCACTAATATGGAGCACAAAAGAACGCTGAAGCGGAAGGAAAGATTTCAGCAAACCTCTGAGATAAAGTAAATAAAAGAAAGTTACAAGAAGCCCAAAAATGGAAGAAAAGGGAATCCAATTGTCTTAAATTTAAGAATCAGCTTTTTCCTAGATGGAGAAACTGTATCCTGGAGGCAGTGACTTCGGTCAGCATTCAACATTCAAACTGATCAAAAATCTCTCAAGCCACCAACAGCCCACTGAGACAGGCAGAAGGACTCAGCCAGGAATAACGTTTTTTAGAGTGAGTCTGCCGAGGCGACAGAGAGATTCAACGATTCAGCTTGTCACTTCCCTGCACGGGAATTCATAATATTCATGATATTCCTTGCTGGCCCCTCTGAGAGGGCAGAGGCCCCTTAGTAACTTCCGACCCGTCCGGGGCAGCCAGACAACGCGCACGAGCGCCCAGTGCCTGGAGCAGGGTGAAGATTTGACCGAGAACAAAAGAACGCTTGCCAATCAGAAAACCGCTACCCCAGAAGGAAAATAACCCCTCTTTGTGTCTCGAAAGCCCTTTAATTAGCAAATGCCCTGGTTTCTAACGCGCATTAAAAACTTTTCTATGTAGATTCCAAGTGGAAAGATCAAATGGTTGTTTCTGCAACGAAGATGAGATCCCCGAAGGCCACACACCGCAGAACCGAGGGAAAACAGGGCAACCGAAGGCGCTCTGTAAATCGTACAGAGAGTTCCGGGGCACTTGGTCTCAGGTTACTTTCGTACGCATTCCCCTAGCGCTGCCTTAGCCTTCTCCAAAACCTCCTGGAACCTCTCGGGCTCCCCACGCGCGCGGGCGGGCGGGGTGGCTGGCTCTTGAGTCTCTGGCTCCCCCAGCTCTGGGCCCTCTCCTCCGAGGGTCTGCACTTCCCCCCGCCGCAAGCTCCCCTCCCACCCGGGTTTCTCCTTCCAGGCGGCCCCCCTCTTTGTAACTGGGGGAGGGAGAGAGAGGGGGTTTGTGGCTTCATGGGGCCGTTTGGGGTATGGGGAGAAAAAAAAAAGCGATCCTCAGTCGCACCCCCTTCTGGACCCACACTGATGCTAACCAAAAGCCTCCCGCCCAAGCCAGCCCGGCAAGGCTAACGTGACTCCGGGTCCACGTCTCTCCGCCCCAGCGCTGCGCTATTCTCAGCTTCTCGCCAAAAGCCTTTGGCGAATGCGCCCCTTCCGCTCAGGAATGTGTGTTTTAGGGTGCCCGGAAGACGAACCGATCTTTCAGGCAAATTCCCTTTCTGGTGTGCGTTCTTCTCCCCTGAGCAAATTCTGGGTAAAAGTTTTCCCTAACTTTTTTTTTTTTTTTTTTTTTTTAACTCCGGGTCACCCCGCCCCTCCCCTCAGGAATCCGCCCAGAGCGCTCCAGGCCCCGCCCCCCCTCGTTCCCTCCGCGCCGCCCCTTCCGACTTCCACCCAATCGGAAGGCGGCGACAGAGAAAACAAAGCGCGCTATTGGACCTCCGGAGGGCTCGGGGCCCGCCCCCGGAGTGGTTTGTGAATGGGGGGAGGGGAGGGGGCGGGGCGGGCCCGAATCCCTGCGAGCCCGACGCTTCTTCTAGCCACCAGCGCGGCTTCCCAGGCGTTACTCTGCGCTCCTTCCCTGGCGGGCGGCGGCGGCGGCGGCGGCGGCGACGGACGCGGGGACTGCGCGGGGCAGGAGAGGCCGGGTGCGGGCAGGCCGCCGGTGCAGGAGCCTCGGCGCTTCGGATTCCACGCAACTGGGTTTCCAAAGAGAACTCGCCCAGCCCCATCGCTCTCTGGGCACGGATCGGACTCAAATCGAGAACCAGACCTTTGGCTGAAACTTGGAGCCGACCTTCCCGGGGCTGAAGGAGGCTCGAGGTTCGGAGGAGGAGGAGGAGGAGGAGGAGGAGGAGGCGGCGGCGGTGGCGGCTGCCCGCGGGGCCTCGAGGCGAGAAGGCGGAGCTGCACCGCCGAGGCGGCGGCCCGGGCGAGCAGGCAGGGGACGCCGGGCTCTGGCTTGGCGGAGGCCCGACTCGGTGTAGGGGGACGTGGGCATCGCCGTGCGCCCGGGGCTCGAGAGACTTGGGCAAACTTTGGAAGGTAACCGGAGACGCTTGTAGCCGGTCACCGAAGAGAAAGCCGCACCGTTACGTCTCGGCGGGGAGGGGTAAGGCGACACTCCCCCCCCCCCCCCCGCATACCCAACCCCACCCCCGACCCCCCAGCCCAGGCCCCAGGAGAGTGAGCCCCCGGCGGCCGCGTGAGTGCCACGCGGAGGCGGCTGCGGCGCCCCCTCGGCTGGCCGCCTCGCCCCCGCCGTGCAAGCACCCTAGCGCCCTCGGCTCCGCGCCGCCCACGGCCCGGCCCCGGCGCCGGGAGGACTCTCATGCGCCGGGCGCGGCGGCGCCTCCCTGCATCCCTGCCGCTCCCCAGCGCCTCGTCTTTTTCCTCCAGCTGAGAACGCCGCTGCACTCGCGGCCCGCGGCGATGCGGGGCCCCGGCACTGCGGCGTCGCACCCGCCCCTGGGCCTGTGCGCCCTGGTGCTGGCGCTTCTGGGCGCGTTGCCCGCGGGCACCCGGGCTCAGCCGTACCACGGCGAGAAGGGCATCTCGGTCCCGGACCACGGCTTCTGCCAGCCCATCTCCATCCCGTTGTGCACGGATATCGCCTACAACCAGACCATCCTGCCCAACCTGCTGGGCCACACGAACCAAGAGGACGCGGGCCTCGAGGTGCACCAGTTCTACCCGCTGGTGAAGGTGCAGTGTTCTCCCGAGCTGCGCTTCTTTTTATGCTCCATGTACGCGCCCGTGTGCACCGTGCTCGACCAAGCCATTCCTCCGTGCCGCTCCCTGTGCGAGCGCGCCCGCCAGGGCTGCGAGGCTCTCATGAACAAGTTCGGCTTCCAGTGGCACTGAGCGGCTGCGCTGCGAGAACTTCCCGGTGCACGGCGCCGGCGAGATCTGCGTGGGCCAGAACACCTCCGACGGCTCCGGGGGCGCGGGCGGCAGCCCCCACCGCCTACCCTACGGCTCCCTACCTGCCAGACCCGCCTTTCACGGCCGTGGCCCCCTCAGATGGCAGAGGCCGGTGGTCTTTCCCCTTCTCGTGCCCGCGCCAGCTCAAAGTGCCCCCCTACCTGGGCTACCGCTTCCTAGGTGAGCGCGACTGCGGTGCCCCGTGTGAGCCGGGCCGTGCTAACGGCCTCATGTACTTTAAAGAAGAGGAGAGGCGTTTCGCCCGCCTCTGGGTGGGTGTGTGGTCGGTGCTGTGCTGCGCCTCGACGCTCTTCACGGTGCTCACCTACCTGGTGGACATGCGGCGCTTCAGCTACCCAGAGCGACCCATCATCTTCCTGTCGGGCTGCTACTTCATGGTGGCTGTAGCGCACGTGGCGGGCTTCCTGCTGGAGGACCGTGCCGTGTGCGTGGAGCGCTTCTCGGACGATGGCTACCGCACGGTGGCGCAGGGCACCAAGAAGGAGGGGCTGCACCATCCTCTTCATGGTGCTTTACTTCTTCGGCATGGCCAGCTCCATCTGGTGGGTCATTCTGTCCCTCACTTGGTTCCTGGCGGCTGGCATGAAGTGGGGGCCACGAGGCCATCGAGGCCAACTCGCAGTACTTTCACCTGGCCGCGTGGGCTGTTGCCGGCGGTCAAGACAATCACCATCTTGGCCATGGGCCAGGTGGACGGGGACCTGCTCAGTGGGCGTGTGCTACGTGGGCCTGTCTAGTGTGGATGCGCTGCGGGGCTTCGTGCTGGCGCCCCTGTTCGTCTACCTCTTCATCGGCACGTCCTTCCTGCTGGCCGGCTTTGTGTCTCTCTTTCGCATCCGCACCATCATGAAGCATGACGGCACCAAGACGGAGAAGCTGGAGAAGCTCATGGTGCGCATCGGCGTCTTCAGCGTGCTCTACACCGTGCCGGCCACCATCGTGCTGGCCTGCTACTTCTACGAGCAGGCCTTCCGCGAGCACTGGGAGCGCACCTGGCTCCTGCAGACCTGCAAGAGCTACGCGGTGCCCTGCCCTCCGGGCCACTTCCCGCCCATGAGCCCGGACTTCACCGTCTTCATGATCAAGTACCTGATGACCATGATCGTGGGCATCACGACCGGCTTCTGGATCTGGTCGGGCAAGACCCTACAGTCATGGCGTCGCTTCTACCATAGACTCAGCCACAGCAGTAAGGGGGAGACTGCGGTATGAACCCCGGTCCTTCCCCGACCCTTGCCACTTCCTACCCGCTTGGAGGAGGAGAGGCATGGTAGGGAAAAAACTGCTGGGCGGGGACTTGTTTCTGTAGGCTACCCCCTCCTCCACTGAGCTTTAACATGGAAGTGAGAAGTTATTTGGAGGTGAGAAGAGATTTGGGGTGAGAGGCGGTTTTGAGAGGGGGGCCTGAGTGAAAAGTCAGAAGGCAGTGTGGATGAAAAAGACTTCTGGTTAAGACTTGCGGGGATGACGCTAACTGTGAAGGGGGCCGGCTAGGGCCTTCAGGGAAAGGTTGAGGTCAGCAGAGACTGGTGAGTTCTTCCCGGCGCCAGAGCTGAGCCAGGGCTGAGTCCAGTCCCTGCTGCAAGGCCAGTGAGGCCGGGGGAGGGGGGGAGATAGCGCTCCGTCTGCTGCCTGGGCTTTGTTGGGAAGATGGGGGCCCCCTGTGGTGCCCTTGTCAAGCGGTGGTCCAAAACCATAATCTCTTTTCACTGGGGCCAAACTGGAGCCCAGATGGGTTAATTTTCCAGGGTCAGACATTACAGTCCTCCTCCCCGCCCCCCTCCCGCCTGGTTTTTTTTTTTTTTTTTTCCCTCCTCCTCCTCCTTTCAAGTCTAGTAAAATCAGCCCTTTGGAAGGCCAGGGAGGCCTGCCTGCTAGAATCCTAACGCGAAGATGCCAAAGAAGACATTTCCGCGAGGAAGGCCAAGGAGACGAGTGGCAGATAGATATAGTTCTGCTACTTTCTTTTTCTTTTTCTCTTTCTTTTTTTTTTTCCATTTTCTTGGGCAGGCGGGAAGGCGCGAAGGAAAAGAATGTTTGATTTGGTTTCATACCCTGAAAAGAAGTGATGACTTGTTGCTTTTCGAAATAGGAATGCATTTCCCCTTGTCTTTGTTGTAAGAGACAAAGGAGGAACAAAAGTGTCTCCCCGAGGAAAGGCTTCACTGTGCAGGCAGCCGCTTTTATAGGCAAAGCAGCAGAAATCTGAGGTTTCCCTTCGGTTGTTAATTTGGTTGAGGTAAACATTCCTTTTTAAGGAAAAGCGAAGGGCAGCATGCATGCTTTTGTACCCATGCAGCCAAAGGTTCTGCCTTGGGTAAAGGAAGTGGAAGGAGTTTTGTTATTTGTTTTAAACAGATTTAATTCAGAACACATGATCTAACAGGCTCTGTTAAACAGCTTAATGAAACCTCCCTCCGTCCCACACCCCCATAAGCCTAAATTTCGAGTTTCTGTCCCCCACCTCCTTCCGTCCAATTTGTGTGTGTGATTTTTTTTTTTCCTGTGTGTGTTTGGGGTTTTTTGTTTGTTTGGGGTTTCTTTGGGCTGTTTTGTTTGTGTGTTTGTTTTGTTTTGTTTTTTCCTTTCTCTTTTTTCCCCCTTTCTCTCTCTTTTTTTTTTTTTTCTTTTTCTGTTTGATTTTTTTTTTTTTAATAGTTTTTCGAGACAGGGTTTCTCTGTGTATCCCCTCCCTGTCCTGGAACTCACTCTGTAGACCAGGCTGGCCTCGAACTCTAAGATCCCCCCTGTTTCTGCCTCCCTAGTGCTGGACCTGGCTCCCCTATCCAATTTGTATTCTTCAAGATTAAAGGAGAGGCATAATGCTCACAGAATCAAAATAAAGGGAAAATTAATTAAAAGGGTTAAAAACCTTTTGCCCACCTTTCTTCCCTCTTAGTTCCATAACTCTGTGTATAGGAAACATGTGCCGACCCTTTCTCTGGTTGAAGAGGTGTCGTTCAAGAGTGATAGGGAAGGAGTCTGTACCAGGTTTAGAAAGTCATAACAGGAAGGTAAACTTCAAAGTGATTCTGGAGTTCTTTGAAATGTGCTAGAAGACTTAAATTTATTAATCCTAAATCATATACTTTTTCCCCCCCTGTAATAGAGGTCTGGTTCTTTGGCATAGTGGTGTATTGCTAAGAAGAGCATCATGGGAGCTAACCTTGACTTCACCTTTGACCCTGACTGTCCTCCAGTCTTGCAATGCTGCACAGTTTCTCAGCAGTTAAATGCCAATCAGGGGGGTACTGTCAGGAGTACAAATTACTTTATATATGTCACGTTCGGTTGAATGGAGCTGCTTTTACGTTACAGTGATCTTGCATTTCTGAAACTTTCAAAAAATGATCTCACCTGTCAGATTTTTTTTTTTTTTAACTGCCACCACACAGGTTTGGTGTCTTTTGTGTTTTCTCTCGTAAGTGCATGTGAAATTTGTAAAATAGAGACAGTGCAGTATGTATATTTTGTAAATCTCCCATTTTTGTAAGAAAATATATATTGTATTTATACATTTTTACTTTGGATTTTTGTTTTTTTTTTTGCCTTTAAAGATCTACAACGAAGCCCCACTTTATCACATGTACAGATCACAAATAAATTTTTTAAAAAATATAAAGCGAATGTTCATTTACTCTGCCTGAGATAGTAAGCCAAGGAACAAAACTTTATTGTGGACAGAAGGCGTGCTGTGGGGTGTGTCCCCCAGAGAAGAGGATGGTGGCGTAGGTTCCCGAAAGCTTTGACTGTCCTTTGGTTTTGCTTTGTTCTTGTTTTCTGTTTCCTGCTCCCCTCCATGGCCTCCTCCGCATCACCTCCAAGCCAGTGGTTCTCAACAAGAGGGTCGGGCCCCTGTGGGGTCACATATCAGTTGTCCTGCATATCAGATATTCACATGACAATTTGTAACAGTAGTAAGGTTATAGTTATGAAATAATTTTATGGTTGGGGGTCACCACAACATGAGGAGCTGTATTAAAGGGTCACAGCATTAGGAAGGTTGAGAACTTCAGCTCTAAGCCTCTTCAGGGAAGCTTTGGGGGACCTACTAGAGGTTCTGAATGCATGTCTCTCTGATCTGTAATTTACTAACCTTATGAGACTAAGCCATGTTTGAAAGAGGACCAGAGGTGTTCTTGGTATTTCTACTTTTCCGTTGATTTTTCCCTGCTTGGGAAGTGTGTGTGTGTGTGTGTGTGTGTGTGTGTGTGTGTGTGTCCCCTAATAGGCCTTATCTAAATTATTAATATTTAAATGCTTTGAATTCAGGTGGTAGGGAAAGTTTGTAGATGCTTCCAGATAAGAGCAGGGGTCACCTGTGTAGAACACTTAGCTGGAGGTGTCTCTCTACCTTCTAGGTAAACTAAAACAGACTGAGAGCTCTCGGAGGGGGCAATGACTCAGCAGCTCGCAGGAATAGACTACTGCCTGACCCTGAGGTGGCAGCCTCAGAAGCAGCCACTGACCCTGAGGTGGCCTCAGAAGCCACTCTGCTGTTATTTGCTCTTGAAGAGAGGCTAACTTTGGAAGCAGATGAGGCTGGGTAGCCCCTGGGGAAATGGTCAAGCAGTCTCAGACTCCCAACTCTAAGCCTTGATAGTTTTTTCACTTGCTGCTGCTTTAAGTCAGGTGCCAATACCCCGATTATACCCCAAGTAGGCAGATTATACCCCAAGTAGGCAGTGTGCTGCTGTCTCTCCTATCCCACACCCGGCTGAAAGTTTCTGGAGTTCTAAGGCCTAACAGAAACAGTTCTGTTTTTGTTCTAATTAACAGGCTCCCACAGGCTGGTGTGTTTTACAGACGGAAAGAATGAAAACCAGTGACAGGCAGCTCTCTCCAGGAGGAGGATGGCTAGCTGGACACTGGCTCAGAGCATCTTTGTTTGTTTGTTTGTTTTGTTTTTTACGAGTCTCCTGGGCTCGCCGCATCACAGTGGGTGTGAGGTCATTCTAACCCGTGAAGATTTTGGGCAGCAAGGAGCGAAAATTTAGTGACTTTGAACGTCTTAAGCTTTATCCACTCTTCAGTCGTAAAATGACAACTTTTAGGTAAATGGTGCCTTTCAACGGGGAGTCAGTACGGCCTGTTATGAACGTTTGCTTCCAAGGCAAATGGCAGGAGCTCGCTGCTTGCTTTTTCTTCTCCTTTTCCTTTTCCCTTTTTCTTTTTTTTTTTTTCTTATTGTAAACGGCTGATGGAGGCACTTAGCCCCTTCCAAGGGAAGTACTGTGACTGCTCCTAAAGAACATATCCCTGCCTTGTCTTCCAGAGCTCCCAGTGATGGAGGAGGCTTGGTCTCTAATAAGGGAACAAAAACAGCGTGTGAAGAAATCACTAACCTGCTCTTGGTTCACAGAAAACTCACACTTACGTTCCTTTCCCATAAGGATGCCCTGGGAGGTCAAATCGCACCTAAGAATTTTAGAAACCCCATGGGTTTTCCTGAAAAGTTGCATTTTTAGCAGAAACTATGTGAGGGAGAGCATCTGCAAAAGGGCATATATAGAGTCTGAGAAAAACATTGGCGGGGGAGTTTGGTGCTAATCCCCAGATAAGGAACAAAAAACACTGAAACTTTCCTGCACTTTATAAAACAAAACACAACAGTGCATTGCAACACCTAATCTTGGTAAGTGGGTGTGTGAAAACTCTTGGCAAGCGGGGGACACGTGCCCTGTTAACGTCTTAGTATTAGTTTTTAAAATGTGCTTAAAATAGTGATATTGGAAATTCTCTTGATAGGACTCTCGTAACATAGCAGCTGTGGGTTTGAGCCCTGTAATTACAGTCAGAAAATCGCTTCTCACTCTCCCATCTTTAATTTCACTGAAAAGGCAGATGGCTATTTATAGACGGTATATTTTTGTGTATGCTTATGTGAACGGTGAATAACAGTCTACGGGGCTCCAGGAAATCCTAGAAGAGAGTGAAAACACTCCAGTGTACACTTAAATAAATAGTGCATAGATGTTGTGCTGGCCAGTTTTTATGCCAGCTTGACACAGGCTAGAGTCATTTGGGAAGAGGGAACCTCAACTAAGAAAAGGTCCCCACCAGATTAGCCTGTGGGCAAGCTTCTAGGGCATTCTCTTGATTAAGGATTGATGGGGGTGGCCCATGGGGGGTGTGCCACCCCTGAGGGTAGTCCTGGGTGGGTAAAGCAAACAGGCTGAGCAAGCGGTGAGGAGAAAGCCAGTGAATAACCTCTTTCCATGGCCTCTGCATTGGTTCCTGCCTCCAGGTTCCTGCCTTGGTTCCTGCCCTGACTTCCCTGGATGATGAACTACGGGCTGTAAGGTGAAACAGACCCTTTCTCCCAAGGATACTTTTGGGTTGTGGTGTTTTCTCACAGCACTAGACGTCCTAACTAAGACAACATATTCCTTTTTTTTTTTGTTCTTATTATCCTTTCCTCAGTGAATTAATCTGGTTTCAAAAAAATTCATTCTTCAACTCTTCTTAATAAGCCTTTAAAAAAAAAAATCTAAAGCTGTATTCCTCATACTTCCTAGGAAATTGAACCTAGTTAAAAGGTTACCATAACAATTCCAGGTCTTTGGTAAACATATTACATTTTTTATTCTGTTTTGTTACCTTTTGTATGCATGTGGGGGGTTTATTTGGGTTTGTGAAATATGTATGTGAGTATGGATGTGTGCACAGAGTGTGTGTACACACGTGTGTGTAGTGGAGGCCAGAGGCTGTCTTCTTTCTCTCCACCTTGTTTGTTGAGACAAGTTTCTCACCAAACTTGGAACTCATCAGTTCCATTGGGGTGGCTAGGCAGTAATCCCCAGTGGTCTTCCTGTCTCTGCCCCTTCAGCCCTGGAGTTACAGTAACATATATACAACTTTCACATGTGTGTTGGGGACATGTGTGTGATGATCCTAACTCAGGTCCTTGTACTTGTGGGGCAAGCGAGCCATCTCCCCAGCCCTCTCTTTGGGGAAATTAGATAGATAGATAGATAGATAGATAGATAGATAGATAGATAGATGATATAGATAGATGATAGATAATGATAGATAATAGTTGAGAGATGAGAGATTAGATAGATAGATAGATAGATGATAGATAGATAGATAGATAGATAGATAGATAGATAGATAGATAGATAGATGCTGGGGACCAGCCTCAGCAGTTTTGGGGGTCTGAAGGATGGGATACCTGGAAGGCACAATAACGACTCAGAGACAATGTTAGTGCAAGCTGACAGGTCACTTCGGGCTTCTGCAGCTGCTAAGTAGCTTCTCTGCTACAGCTTCCTTAGCTTCCTTAGCTTCTGCTTTTGCCCTGGTAACCTCAGTCTTGTATTGTCATAAGCAAGGGGGAACAGAAAGAAAAGGCGAAATCACCCAATACAAAATGTTCTCATGATTCCAAAGGTTATTCTTAGAAAATCACCAATGTATTCTTCATCATCTTTTACTAAACATAGCAACTATCCCAGACTTAACACCAAAGCAAGCATAATCTATTTTTATTATTAATGATTATACAATCTTCTGAGCACTTGACCCAGAGGCTAGCAACATGCAATTTCGCAAAAAAAAGATAAAAATAAGAACAGTGGTTAATATACCAGACAGTCATTTCCTTCTCACACAGCCTGCTCCGACCTCAAGACCCCTGCAGCTGCCTAAGTTCCTCCTCAGCCCTCTGCAAACACCAAGCCCTGTGACTGGTGGGCTACAATGACCTCAGACAAGAAATCTGTCCCTGCAAGTCAGCAACTTCTATCCTTTTATATCCAACAATTCCAAGGAAGACCTGATCCGAGTTTCAGAGCTTCCACGAAAGGAAGCTCACCTTTTCTGGCAGATCTTTTTAATCTAGGAATCCAATAAAACTTGCAGCAATCATTCCATCAATTGCCACGTTGTCTCCACTCTTCTTCAGGAGGAATCAAAAATACCTGGATTAAAGTTGCCATCTCCCTTTCTCGGTGGAGGCCACTATTTTCCTCCTACTCTAGGTTCCCACACTTCCCGTTTGTCATCCCATCTATATGTTACTCCATCCACAATCTTCAGCCAATACCCCTTAGGGTCTCAAGTTTTACACAATACCCTTGGAATATCCTCAGAAACTGAATTCTTCATCATGGCCAATTTAAGTCCAACGTGTTGATACACATCATACCATGTGCTATAGTTGACCACACATTCGGTACAGTTTATCCAAGCCTAAAAAGCTTCCCCAGGCTGCAGGTTCTTTTCCATGAACTGCATAACTGCCTTAACCCCAGCCTGGGTGATCATCTCTGTATAATTTCCTGTGAAATTTACTTCACTCCTTTCCTGCATCACAGAAGTCACCATTGATCTAGGAACACAGAACATGAAGATCAGATAGAAGAAAAAGTAATTACAAGAAGTAATTATATGGAGGAGAACACGACATGTGCATGCCATAAAGCATGACCTTGGGACACGTAGGCATTTCTACCTTGGCCCTCTAGAGGCATTTAAGCAGAAGATCTGGAGGGAAACACACGGAGGGTTGATGGTCCACAATCTCGGGTCCCCTTTTTTCCAATCTCTGCTGGCAGCACGTCAGCCATC